GCCCTGACCCCACCACGGGGGTCCCAGCTCACCCTCGGGAGGAGGCCAGAGCCGTCCCGCTCTCCGCTCCCAGGAAAGGCCCACCAGGCCCTTTCCTCTGCCCACCTGGGAAAAGCGCCAGGGCCGGAGTGGCTCTGGGAAGCGGGCTCTGTTTCCTCACCTTCACCCTCCACTGGGACATAACCCACTCTCCCGGGTCCTTCTGGTCATGAAGAAATCTGGGCACCTTTCAGGTGGCAGCGTGCTAGCCCGCTTGGGAACACACCTAATTTCAGTCGGTTTCCAGAATGAAGGCAGTGACTAGGACAAAGGAACAGGCCCCTGTGGTCGTTCCAGGTCATCTGATTCCCGAGCGCGGAAATTGTTAGGATGCAAAGGTGGGCACCTCGCTACACTTCAAATTACAATAAGGTTTTTTCTTTCTCCATCTTAAGGTACCTCGACAACATTTTTGAACTTTAAAAATATTTGTTAAAATGGGCTTCCCTGGTGGCGCAGTGGTTGAGAGTCTGCCTGCCGATGCAGGGGACGCGGGTTCGTGCCCCGGTCCGGGAAGATCCCACATTCCGCGGAGCGGCTGGGCCCGTGAGCCATGGCCGCTGAGCCTGCGCGTCCGGAGCCTGTGCTCTGGAACGGGAGAGGCCACAGCGGTGAGAGGCCTGCGTACCGAAAAAAAAAAAAAAAAAAAAAAAATCTGTTAAAGGTATTTCATTTTCATCATATTTTCATAACGTTTAAAGTAATTTGCCAACTACTCGAATTATGGAAACCAAATACTGCAGGCGGCTGCATCTGCAGAGCCTTCATTTGTGGCTCAGAGGGCACAACTTCAGGTCAGCCTGGGAAAATAAAAAATTCAATACAAAAGTGAACAATAGAAATGGATTTGAAGCACAGGGATGTTTCCAGCAGCCCGTTCATCGTCACGACAAAGGTCTGGGAGAGGCCTGAGAGTCGTCCTGTGAGCAGCCACGAGACAAGAGTCACCTCTGGAGCCTGAAGACATTCCTGAATCTTGCAAAAGGTGGAGGCAGACAGTGCCCGGCTCTGGGATGGGAGGAGAGCAGGGAAGGCTGCCTGAGGTCAGAGCAGAGCACTGAGGGCCTGGGATTCTAGAGCGGGGCTCTGCAGGGCCTCCCCCCATGTGAGAGCCTGCCCTGAGTGGGCAGTGTTCCCTAGGCCTGGAGGGGGAGCCAGGCGGGAGCAAGGGGTGGGAGACGGCGCAGAGGCCGGAAGCCACCCCCGGCGAGGAGGTGTCCAAGCGGACCCCGTGGGCATCCTCCGTCCTCCAGTTGAAAGCCGGGCTTCTCTGAGGCCAGCCTCACCTGTGACATCATCCCTGTCAAAGGGAAGAGGTTTCTGGGTTTACTGTTGATGGCTCCTGGAGCCCGTGGCAGAGGCAAATCTGTTCCAGAAACTGCATATGATCCCCTCGGCGCATCTGCAGATCATTTGGGGTGTATCTCTTCCCTAAGAGAAGAGACATGCAGAGCTGTGGGTACCGTGTCCTCGTGGGTCTGAGCAGAGGAGCGGGGAGCAGAGGATTTCTCTCCGAAGTCACAGGTTTGACTGCCTCCATTTCTGTCCCGGGTTGGCACATTTCCCCTCCACTCCAGCGAGAACAGCGGGCCGGCTGTCACGCGCTTCGCGCTCGAGCGTCAGCCTGGGGTTCTGTGAGATCTCTCTGCTGCCATTCTGCATTCAATGTGTCGTCTTCCTCTGCTCGTAAGGTTTCACTTCCTCTGCAGCTGGCGGCTTCTGTGTTTCTTTTCCCATTTATCCCAGTCGTGAATCAGCTGCGTTTTCAGAACCCTGTATGGTATTTCTTTTGAGAGAGGTCATTACAGATCTCTGCTTTGTGCTGCAAGGTTTTTTCTTTCATTTTCCAGCAGAATTTCAGCCAAATGTCAGTCCAGCTGACCTCTCAGCAGTCAGCTTACGTTGGGAACAAAGGATTTAGCAAAGATTTGTCTGTGAGCTCTTCATCTTCCTCCTTCTCTGGTTTCTTTAAAAATAATGTCACTCCAGTGATTGGCCTGTGCTTCCACTGCAAAATGCAATGGTTTAAAACTTCAATTTCCTTTTCTCTGCAAGCGAGCGTCCTCACACATCTTTCTAAGAGTTTCCACGTCATTTTATTAGTACACCGAGCTCAGAGCATTTCTCATTCCTCCATTGCTGCTCCACGCTGCTCTTAAATTTAGTCATTTTCTTCGTAAGCTTGGTAAAGCTTCGTAAGCTTAGTAAAAGCTTCACCTTTACTAATTTAGCTTCATCACAGCATTTGTGGGGGGGGCCTCTGTGAGTTTTACAGAATTCCTTATAAAAACTGTGTTATTTCCATAGAATTTTGACTTCCCAATAGCTTGTCCTGTTTCTTTCCATGGCATTTATCCTTAGTCATCAAAATAAGAAGCGGACTCTCTACTGCAATCCGGTTCCTTTCTTCAAGGCCCCGGCGTGTCTCTAAGCCCCACTCACCTCCTCAGACACACTCTTATTTTGCATCCTGAGTTCTTCAAGAGATACCTTTGTTGCTTTGATCTTCTCTCTAAAATCTTACAATTTGTTGAGAATTTTATATTTTCATGGGACATTTTTAAATGTCTGTGCACCTGTTGTTGAATCACTTGAAATCTTCTACTCTTTGTAGCAGAGAAGCTTCCAGAATAAACTGGCAAACAACCAATTCGCCGTAAGGAGGTAATAATTCCAGTTTACAGGGGACTTGATGATGATCCGGCAGCCTCAGGTCCTTGGCCAGGGTCGCTACCAACAGCTTGGAAAAGCATTTCCACAGAACTCCTCAACTGAAGGGCTTCTGTATCTGTTTCTGGACTATATTCAGAGATACCATTACCTCTTAGGTCACGTGTTTTCAAACAGCCAACTTATCTAAGATTTATTTCTATTTCTACATTCTCTGGATCCCTTTTTTCTCTTTCCAAAATGACTCACAGAAACTACATTTCCTCAGTTCTTCTATGTTCAAAAATATTCGTTACCTTTAAAATTAAAAGGCAGGGACTTCCCTGGTGGCACAGTGGTTAAGAGTCCTCCTGCCAATGCTGGGGACACGAGTTCGAGCCCTGGTCCGGGAAGATCCCACATGCTGTGGAGCGGCTGGGCCCGTGCGCCACAGCTATTGAGCCTGCGCTCTAGAGCCCGCGAGGCACAACTACTGAAGCCCGCGCACCTAGAGCCCGTGCTCCACAACAGGTGAAGCCACCGCAGTGAGAGGCCCGCACACTGCAGCAAAGAGTAGCCCCCACTTGTCACAACTAGAGAAAGCCCGCGTGCAGCAACAAAGACCCAACACAGCCAAAAATAAATTAATTAATTTTTTAAAAAATTAAAAGGCAATGTAACTGGATATACAAATATTTGGGCACACTTTCCTTGAAAATTTTATAGGAATTGTTCTATTATCTTCTAGTATTGAATATTGTTTTAGAAAAGTCTGGATAACTGTGATTTTTTTTTCCATCTTTATAAATGACTTGGTCTTTTTTCTGTCTCTAACCTGCTTCTGTGTGGGCTGGAAATAGCTGGCTTCCCTGGTTGCCATATATTCGGGGTATTTCATTTATTGGAGGAATATTTACTGTTTGCCTGCACTTAGTTTCAGACGATGGGGGAGATATAAAGGCTAATAAGATGTGGTTCCTGCCATCAAGAGGTCAAAAACCAGCAGGAAACAGAGGCCTCGATGGAGCGAACTCTAATCTCACGCAGAGATCTTGAGGTGGGAGAGGCGGGAGTGGCTTTGCAGCGTGGGGAGAAACTGTGAGAACTCCTATGTATACTTATGTCCCATAAAAATAAAGAAATGATACTTTAACTAGTTAATGTTCCCAGTGATGCTGGCGCCTCACAGGACGCTGTGTCCTGTGGTTACGTGTTGTGAATCATTCCCTGGAAAGGAGGAAACAATGATGGGTTTACCAACACGTTTTCTAGATTTTGTTCCCCTGACCCTCACAACTGGGCAAGGGAGGGGCTTAAAACACTGCAACAAAGAAATTGCAAAATGAAGATGATATTAGTGATGCAAACATATAAAAAAATAAGATGTCAGAGCTGACACTCTGCTCCTTCCATGGGCTCTTAGTCAAGCCCATTGTCAGATAAGAAAACCGTGAGGAGCTCAAGTCTGGCGAGATGTTCGTCAAAATAAAATGAAAAGTTATACAAAAGTGTATTTGAAATATTGATTAACTTCTGATATCATTCGCGATACAACTCATACTAAGTATATGGTACCTTGAGATACTGCCTTATAAAAATAAGTATAGGGGACTTCCCTGGTGGCGCAGTGGTTAAGAATCCGCCTGCCAATGCAGGGGACATGGGTCTGAGCCCTAGTCCAGGAAGATCCCACATGCCGCGGAGCAACTAAGCCCGTGCACCACAACTACTGAGCCAGCGCTCTAGAGCCTGCATGCCACAAGTACTGAGCCCGCGTGCCACAAGTACTGAGCCCACGTTCCACAACTACTGAGCCCACACCCTAGAGCCCACATGCCACAAGTACTGAGCCCACGTGCCACAACTACTGAGCCCGCACCCTAGAGCCCACGTGCCACAAGTACTGAGCCCGTGTGCCACAAGTACTGAGCCTGTGTGCCACAACTACTGAGCCCACACTCTAGAGCCCGCGTGCCACAAATACTGTGCCTGCATGCCACAAATACTGAGCCCGCACTCTAGAACCTGTGTGCCACAAGTACTGAGCCCGCGTGCCACAACTACTGAGCCTGCACTCTAGAGCCCGTGTGCCACAAGTAACTGAGCCCACACGCCTAGAGCCCATGCTCTGCAACAAGAGAAGCCAAGGCAATCACCGCAATGAAGAGTAGCCCCTGGTGGCTGCAACTAGAGAAAAGCCCACGTGCAGCGACAAAGACCCAATGCAGCCAAAAATAAATAAAATAAATGTTTACAATAAATAAATATATACAATTTATGGATAAATAAATATACATATACAGTATTGGGCAATATGCATTCTCAACTCTTTTTTTAACGGGTGGAGGTGTGCAATGAAAAAGCCCAGTGATCACTGCTTTAATGTAACAAATGCAAAACTGGCATTAACCACGTGAAGAAGCCTCTGGCGGAGCAGAGCATCATCAGTTCGTTGTTCCTGGCAACAGGGGGACGAATCACAGATAGTTGAGCTGCAGCATGAAGAACAATCGAAATGTCACCGGGTGAAGAGAGGAGAGGGTAACTCCAGGTCGATGGCACAGCATGAGCAGAGACTCAGAGGCGGGGAGAACACGTCCTGAAAGGAGATGGGCGGGCAGGTCCAAGTCTCCTGGGATGTACTGTAGAGGCAGAGGGTGCAGGTGACCCTGGGATGGCAGATCACCCGGGCTGGAGCAGCCTGAACTCTGCGCTAAGACTGTGGACCACGGGGAGTCCGTGGAGACGAATGAACAAGGAGAGCCCGGAGCCAACAGTACTGAGATGCCTCTGACACCACTTTCGGGGCAAAAGGAGGAGGAATGAATGATGAAATTGATACTGGTTTTTAAAATATCTACCTAGTGTCTATGTATCTATCATCTATGTATCTATCTATGTATCTGTCTATCAATCACTGAGAAACTTGGGGCACCATATTAGCATCAAGACAAAAAAGGTGCCACTAGGTATTTCATAGACAGTGAGGAACTAATTCTTTTTTAATTGTGGTAAAACGCACATAAACATAAAATCTCGACCATTTTTACACACACAGTTCAGTGGCATTAAGTCCATTCACATTGTTCTGTAACCATCACCGCCATCCTCTCCGGAACACTTTTCGTCTTGCAAAACTGAAACTCTGTCCCCATTAAACACTTACTCCCCATTCGCCTCCCCACTGGCACCCACCCTCTTACCCTCTGTCTCTATGAATCTGACTACTCTAGGTACCTTGTATACATGAAATTATACAGTATTTGTCTTTTCATAACTAGCTTATTTCACTGAGCATAATATCTTCAGGGTTCATCCATGTCGTACCAGGTGTCAGAATTTCCTTCCTTTTTAAGGCTGAAGAGTATTCCATGTATGTGTAGACCACATTTGGTTTTTTTGTACATTCATCTATTGCTGAACACTTAGGGTTACTTCCACCATGGGCTATTGTGAATAACGCTGCTGTGGACAGGGGTGTACAAATATCTCTTCGAAATTCTGCTTTCAGTTCTTCCGGAGATATGTGAGAAACCAAATCTTTTGATACGTTTCCTCTCTAGTGGTTATTTTGAAAGAGGTAGAGAGTCCTCCCAGAGGTACTCCTAATGCATTATTTTCTTGAAAATGTACCATGAATATGTGGTGGCCACTAAAAAGGAGGCTGAACACGTCAAGCCAAGAGTTCCTGCTCAGAAGGTGACCTGTTTCTGCAGTGAAGACATCGTTAATGGTGACCAGACATCTAAATCCAAGAGGCCAAGGGTGTTACTCTATGTATTTGTGTGCATCTATCTATCTGAATACACGTTTTAATTCTATTTAAGTGGCAAGCAAAGGTCTGGGGCAAATGGTGAGCTGCCTGGATCTCCATGAGCACCAGTGGCTGGGGGACTGGTTTCTACTGGGGGGTCGGGGGGTGGCAGCCCCGCAGTCACATCACTACTACAGCGATCTGTGCTGAAACTTAAAATGGCTCCCCTCCTACCTTCTGTGTGTAGCGTTCATTTCATAAGGACTTTATTTCTACGTTTGTTGATGTCACGGGCTGCACCTGTCAATCTTAGTACGCTATAACGGTCCCATTCAAGGGTGGTTTCTACTCTGCTTCTATTTTCCGCCCAGTCTGACTCTGTGTCACGAGATGCCCGTCCACCCAGGATTCACAGAGCCCGCATCCTCTGGCCTGCCCTCCCCCAGCCCAAGAATCTTACAAACCCCTGATGGCGTAGGGGGCAGGGGGCCGCTTATAAAAGGGAAGCTGTGCCCGGGAAAGCCGGGTCCGGCTCCCTCTGTCGATCTGCAGGACAAAGACGGTAAAGCTCTTCGGTGAAAGCTCAGCGCTCTCAGTCTGGACTGAGGCCATTTTAACCCAGATTCCGTCACCGGCCGTGGGAAAACAGCCAGCCTCATGGCGAAACAAAAGTGAATGTCGCCGCACACCCTGCATTCACGGCCTCGGAATTTTCTCTGCTCATCTTCGTCTTTTGTTACCTGGGTCCCCACAGAGCCCCACGACTGCGGAAGGACGAGGGCTTGAGGCTCCCACCCAGGCAGCCCTTTGATTAAAGAGCCCCCGGGGCAGCTCTGCCGGGAGCTGCTGGCTTCTCACGGGGGGAGGGAAGGCCTGGGAGGAAACGGGGGACAGTGGGACATCAACAGGGGGAGTGACAAAGCTGAGAAAGCACACGTCTCGGCGAGTCCCCTGAACCCTTTCCACTACCCCCTCCCCGCAGTCACAAGACAGGGCTGGACCCCTTCCTAGGCCCAGTTCTCCGGGCATTTGACTCCTTTGCATAAATGTTAGGGTTGGTAGCTTTCCAATATTTCTAGCTGGAGAGCACTGGGACGGGTAAAAAAGGAAATAATGATGGATTTGCAGTCTCTTTCTTTCGATTCCTCTTCATTCATTGGCTAAGTGTCGGTTGCCTAGGAAACCGCGTGCATCTCGGCGGCAGAGTCGGCTGGCAGGCTACCGGGCCTGTGAGCTGTTTATTAAGTGGTGAATGCAAGCAGGCAGTGGGAAAATCCGAAAGCTACGAGTCTTGCAATCTCAGTGTGTGTAAAAACATATATCTTGCTTTAAGAAAACGACGCTTTAAAAATTTACTACCAAATCAGCTATGTAATGTCCCCTTTCTATCAGACTTCAATTAATTAACACAACTCTGTGGCCACGTAAGAGATAAATGCAAAATCACTTGAGAATGTGCCCCTGAAAATACTCTGAAAAGTGTGAGAGCAAATAGGATTTTAATAGCTTAGCGGGTATCTTACTCACCTCAGCCACACAATGCTATTCATAAAATAAAGGTTGAATTTTATTTTACATGTGTAATTTCTACAATGGTCTCAGGAAGCGAAAATTTAGAAATGTTAGTGCATCATTAAAGTTAATAGCATGTAAGTGATGATGAAATATACTGTTCTGACGCCTTCATGTCTGATGTACAACGACCGAGATGGAGAGGAATTGTGTGTAATACACAGACAAAAAGAAACGCTTGGATGCTGGAGGACCCAACTGAGAGCGATTTGTCTTTCTCTTTGAAAGCCCTTCACCAGCCTCTTCTCTGAGAGCTAAGCAGAATAAGGGTGATAAGGGTTGGCAGATAAACTGAAAACTTCAGGGAAAGACTTGGCTGTCATCAACACATCCTTCCGACACAAAACCAGCTCCTTGTGAAAATTAAAATGCGCAGTATCATACTTCCAAGTTGGGGAGGGGCCGTGGAACAGTTAACGAGAATGCCCGCTCGGTAGAGGCGGGGATGCGGGACAGTACCGGCAAATGGTATGAAATGAAGGCAGGCCTTGAGCCCAAAGTGCTGAGTCCTCAAGGGCATCCAGGCTTTCGGAAGGATGAGTTCCACCCTCGCCTTATCCTAAGCCCCTTCCCAAAAAAGAAACCCTGGAGGAAAGGGTCCTTTTATCCACGTAATCTTGAACACGCGTTTCCACGCCGGGCCCTCCGCGGAAATTTGGCGGTGAAACGGGAGCTGAGAAATAAACCGTTAGGTGCGGGAGCTGGTGGGGCTCAAGGTGTCGGGCGAGGAGCTCATCCCCGGGAGCGCTGCGCTCGGCGCCCGGGCGGGGCTCTAGCCGCTCGGCGCGCGTCCACACCAGCAGCGTGTGTGCGGCCGTCGCTTGGGTCCTTCCCGCGCGGCTCGGTCCCACCCGAGCCGCCACCCCCAGGTCCGGGTGCTGACACTAGGCACAGCCCTTTCTGCCTGGACGCGGGCCCCTTGCCCAGGGCTGGGAGCCGGAAGCGGGATTCCGGCCTGAGTCTTGTCTTTAACTTGCTGTGTGACCCCGGGCATCACTCGCCCTGGACGCTTCTGCATCTGTGGGAGCTGGGTTAGTAACTCGGGGTCAGGCGCTGGAGCCCCGCAAGCGGGCATGTGGGCCGACCTTCCGCCCCTCTGCCCCCTGTCCGACCCCTCCCAACCCTGGCTCCGGCCGCCGCGTCTGGGGACCTCTGCCCAGAGCTGCAGTCGGGCACAAGGGGTGTTTGGGGGCGGCTGGGCTTTTGTTCTCTGTCTCTCTTTGTGCGCAGGAATTGGGCTGAAAGCCCCCCTTCCACCCCCAGCGGGAAGGGAGGCGATGACAGCTTGCTGACACTTCTGGGAGGGTCTCACTCAACAGCTGCGGGCTGCGCTCCGCCGCGGGAACCCGGCTCATTCGGGCCCTCTCGCCTGAGGATGAAAAGGGGTCACGTCACCTCGCAGAAGACCCGTCAAGGGTCAGGGTGGAGGAGGGGAAGCTTCACCCCCAGGATTGCGGGAGCCAGGTTCCAGCGCGCGCTCTCCTCTCTCTCTCTCTCTCTCTCTCTCTCTCTCTCTCTCTCACACACACACACACACACACACACACACACACACACACGAAAACTAACAAAGAGATCAGCTCCTTCTTGGACTCTGTAGAAATTGTGGGTTTGAAGGAGTGTCTGGGCTGAGCCTCTGCGCACGCGTGCGGGAAGCGCCTCGGGGTCTCGGGTGACCTCTACCTCGCGGTGCTGCAGTTTTCAGGCGTGTCCCTCACCCGCAGCAGCAGCAAGAAGGTTGGGGACCACGGGGCCGCCTCGAGGTCCGGCGCCTGATGGATGACGAGAATGTTGGCGGTGGGGCGGGCGATGACCTCCCTTGGAACCCAACCCCTTTCTGGACAATAGATGGACTGAACCCAGTGCTTTTTAAATGCTCAGCTCTGGGAGGGTAGCCCACGCATTTTCCAGCTCTTTGTTCTGCCGCAGCCCCGCCCCCGAACCCCACCCTCTTCCGACCGCTGGACAGTCCACCCCGCGCGGCCGGCCACACCCACCCCATCCACTCCCAAGGAACAAAAGCCGACCCGCGGGGTGGAGGGGCTTGGGTACCAGCCGGGGAGCTGTGGACTCTTGGAGAGGGTCACGCAGGGCGGAGGAGGCGCGGAGGTTGCCCCAGCCATGGATGCTGCCGCCACAGAGAAGGGGCCCTTGGCAGGAGACAAAAGAGAGGACGCGCGGATGTTGGGGGGGGCGGGGCGGAGGGCACCCTGGGGCTCTTGGGCCTTAGGTGTCCAAGGTCACCGCCTTCAGACCCCAACAAACTGATCACACAGGACTTTCTCCTGGGGCAGCCTGTCCTCTCCCAAGACTCTGTGCGACCGAGGCTCGGCCGCAGGACAGCCGTTGGCCTCTAAGCGCTGGGGAAAGGGGCAGTGGTCTCACCAGGGAGGGTGGCTTAGGGGTCTCCGGCCCTGGGCGGAGGAGGGCCGCAATCCTCGCTGGTAGCGAAACCTGCGCCACCCCGCCACCCCTGACACCTGCCAGCACCCGGAGCACAGCGCTCTCCTTTCCGGCGCACCTGACACCCTCTCCACGGGCTCCAGTCCCCTGGCTCCCACCCGTTCAGTGCCAGCTCTCCCCCCAGACACCCGGCCTGCCACCCTGGTCGCCCTCGCGTCGCCGCCCTCCGCCCTCGGTTCCGCCACCCACCCCGCAGTCGCAGGGCCCAGCTTTTCCACATCCTCCCCCCGATCCTAGACAATGCGCACGCCCCCATCCTACCCCCCGCAGCCCCCATGCCTCGCCCGTTCCGCAAGCCTGTGCTGATTGGCCGCGGGCCCGTGGTCCAGCCCCTTGGACGGTCCCTGGGGCCCGGAGCATTACGTCAGCGGGGCCTGGAGAGCGCTAGCCCGAAGGGGACTGGGGAGCTCGGGCTGGGGGCGCGGCCTGCGCGGGCGGCCCCACCCTCCTCGCATAAAAGGCCGAGCCCGCTGGGCGGACGCTCTCAGCCGGCTGGTTCCCGAGCGCGTTCCCGGTGACCCCGCAGTGGGTGTGTAGGCGGACGAACAGACTGACCAGACGCCGACCGGGGCCAGAAGAAGCGAGCCGGCACCATGCGTGAGATCGTGCACATCCAGGCGGGCCAGTGCGGCAACCAGATCGGCGCCAAGGTGGGCGCGGCGCCCGGGAGGGGCCGGGGTGGGGCCGGGGTCGCCGGCCTAGCGCCCTTCGGGGTTGCGGGCGCTAGCGTGGTCCTGAGCAGGCCCGCGGCTCGCCAAGCGCAGACCTTCCCGGCTGCTTTGGGCCGCAGAGCGGGACGTGGGCCCGAGGCGACTTTCGCGGGCCATGGGGAGGAACCTCTCAACTTTCTGCTGTAACTCGTTTGGAATCCCGGTCCCACAGCCTCCCTTTCCTCCCGGCTCTTCTCCTAGCCCGGCACGCAGGCCTGAAGAGCGCGCGGGTGTGTCCGCCGGGCTGTGTGCGCGGCTTTGCGGGCGGGGCCCCGACGCCAGGAGAATCGATTTGACGCGCTCGAACCCGAGTCGAGCTGCGGGGGGAGGGGCGGAGAGCGATCTTCCTGAGGTCTCTGGATGTGCTTTGAACCTAAAACCCCCCTCCTTCAGCCTCCTCCGGTCTCTGTTCCCCTGCCCGCCCCCTAGGCGCCGCTGGGGTCCCTGCGCGTCCGCCCCTCCCCGCCATACCCCCGCCTCCTGCCGCGAGCAGCTGCTTGCCCGGGAAACGCCCAGTTTCACTTCCGTGGCCTTGCAAAATGCAAGCCGTGCGGCTGTGCAGGTCCCGCTGCCTTAAAGCTCCTAGAGGTTGGGTTATCGGAACTGAGATCGGGGATTTTCACTGTGAGTCGCGGCCTCTCTGAGGGGTGGGGCGTGGCTAAATGCAAGCTTTTTGTGTCTCAGTTTTGGGAGGTCATCAGCGATGAGCATGGGATCGACCCCACCGGCAGTTACCATGGAGACAGTGACTTGCAGCTGGAGAGAATCAACGTGTACTACAATGAAGCCACTGGTGATTGCCTTTACCCCTTCCCCTCCCCCCTGGGGACTGACCCCAGGAGTGTGGTCCCAGGGGAGGGTGGACTGGCGGATTTAGGATTCCCATCTTTCCCTGAGGTTTTCCAGCGGGCGCCCCTTTGAGAATCCTGTCATCCTATGTCCTTTGTTTGGGGGAAACAAGCAGCGCCTGCAAAAAGGAAGCTGGTACCAGGCCCTCCTCTCTCGAGCTCTCTGCCTGCAGGTCTGAGTCCTGCTCTGTCCCCGCAGGTAACAAATACGTGCCTCGGGCCATCCTGGTGGATCTGGAGCCGGGCACCATGGACTCGGTCAGGTCTGGACCCTTCGGCCAGATCTTCCGGCCCGACAACTTCGTGTTTGGTGAGTGACTGCCATGGCTGATGGCCTGGGAGGCACATTTTACGCTGGACAGCTCAGGGTGGAGCGGTGTGACGGCCTGAGAGAACGTATAGAGTTGTGTGTTGATTTTGTCTCAGTATACCCTAAAACAAAATGCCGTTCAACCTCTAATAGCCAGGTCCCTAACCCTCCTTATTTATAATCATGTCCACGACCAAATATTTTAATGTCTGGCCATTTTAACGACAACCTGAAATAATCTGCTCGGAGCACTGACTCGCTGAGCTCTATTAAAGGGTTTAGGGAAAAAGGAATCGAAGGCAGTCCTCAGGGACTTATGAAGACTCTTTCCCTCCGGCAGGCCAGAGCGGTGCCGGCAACAACTGGGCCAAGGGCCACTACACGGAGGGCGCGGAGCTGGTGGACTCGGTCCTGGACGTGGTCCGGAAGGAGTCAGAAAGCTGTGACTGTCTGCAGGGCTTCCAGCTGACCCACTCGCTGGGGGGCGGCACCGGGTCCGGGATGGGCACCCTGCTTATCAGCAAGATCCGCGAGGAGTACCCCGACCGCATCATGAACACCTTCAGCGTGATGCCCTCGCCCAAGGTGTCGGACACGGTGGTGGAGCCCTACAACGCCACGCTGTCCGTGCACCAGCTGGTGGAGAACACGGACGAGACCTACTGCATCGACAACGAGGCGCTGTACGACATCTGCTTCCGCACCCTGAAGCTGACCACGCCCACCTACGGGGACCTCAACCACCTGGTGTCGGCCACCATGAGCGGGGTCACCACGTGCCTGCGCTTCCCGGGCCAGCTCAACGCCGACCTGCGCAAGCTGGCCGTGAACATGGTGCCCTTCCCGCGCCTGCACTTCTTCATGCCCGGCTTCGCGCCGCTGACCAGCCGGGGCAGCCAGCAGTACCGCGCGCTGACGGTGCCTGAGCTCACGCAGCAGATGTTCGACTCCAAGAACATGATGGCCGCCTGCGACCCGCGCCACGGCCGCTACCTGACCGTGGCCGCCATCTTCCGGGGCCGCATGTCCATGAAGGAGGTGGACGAGCAGATGCTCAACGTGCAGAACAAGAACAGCAGCTACTTCGTCGAGTGGATCCCCAACAACGTGAAGACGGCCGTGTGCGACATCCCGCCCCGCGGCCTCAAGATGTCGGCCACCTTCATCGGCAACAGCACGGCCATCCAGGAGCTGTTCAAGCGCATCTCGGAGCAGTTCACGGCCATGTTCCGCCGCAAGGCCTTCCTGCACTGGTACACGGGCGAGGGCATGGACGAGATGGAGTTCACCGAGGCCGAGAGCAACATGAACGACCTGGTGTCCGAGTACCAGCAGTACCAGGACGCCACGGCCGACGAGCAGGGGGAGTTTGAGGAGGAGGAGGGCGAGGACGAGGCCTGAGCCCCGCGTGCGGCTGGACGTGGCCGGAGGCCCTGTGGCTGGAGGCCGGGAGGAGAGCGAGGGGGAGGGGGTCCGCGGAAGGAGAGAAGCATGGGCTGGGGTCACCGCGGCCGGGCGCTGGTTCACAGGTGCTCTTCACTGTTGCCCGTCCCTTTTTTTTTTTTTCCTCTTTGTAATATTGATGACATCCGTGTAACATCTGAGATCTTTCTGAACTACTGTTGTAATGGCTAAACTCACATAAACGTTTGTGTCCTAATGGTGTCCTCTTTTCTGTCTCTTTATTATCAATTTAAATGTCACTTTCAGAACACATTATATTGAATCCTTCTTTCAGAAAAGCGAAGGGATGGGTAAAATCTCACATGAATTTACTGTTCAATGTGGTAAAACTGAACCAACCACAATCATACCCAATTTAAGAGGGGAGAGCAATCCGGATTTTAAGATGCCTTCAAGTAAATATGTTAGAGTTGAGAGATGCCTGCTTGAGAGCACACTGACTATTCTCATGGAGAAACCCTACTATACCTTTATTTCCTCTACAAATAGTTACTACATGCGCACAGCACAGAATTCTAAAGCACAGAGAGTGGAAAGAAAGCCTCTCTTCCTCCTGTGTCTCTTGACGCATTTTCTTTCCCGGAGGGCAAGCATTCTCATATTGTTATCTTTCTTGCGTCCTTGCAGAAATTTTCCATGAGTCTTGAAACCTACTGAGATCATTCCCTTTTTCTTTCTTCACAGGTTATGATACCAATACTGTTCTGCTGCCTCTTTTCACTAAACAGTGTATCTTTAAAATACAGAGCGGCCGCCTCCTTTAAATGGATACATAGTATCCATTATGTAGCTGTGCCACATTTTATTTAACCAGTTCCCTACCAATGGACATGTAGGTGGCTTATGCTTTTATCTTATAGTGCCACAGTGAATAAGTTTGTGCACATATCATTGTGTGAAGTTCTCTAGGTGGAATATTCTGTCAAAGGGTATATGATACGGTGACATTTTAAGTTAATGAAATCCCCTGTACTTAGAAATCCCAACAGATTTATAAATTGTTAATAGACTAAAATTCTCAGGCAACCTTTCTCCCAGCAATTATGTTTATACTACGTTACAAACTGTTTGCACATCAACTACCTTTGGATTTACATGAAATTATAAATTCTGGATTATTGGAGAGTTCTACTTTTAATAGGTAAGCCACTATAATTTTCAGTTTGTTGTGTTCCTACCATGCAGCTTTGAAATTTGGGATTTGAACCCAAGCCTGCCTCTAGACTTGAACTCAATCACCAAAGAAGCTGTGGGATTTTAACAAGTGACTTTTAGTAAAGATTATATGCTTCTGTGGGATCAGTTATACTTTGTCAAAATGTGCCAATGTTCTGCCTTAATCCGGGCCAGT